TAACTTTTCATCTTAAAATCCAAACTAATAATTGATGTTGAGTATTTAAATTTTCACTTAGCATGATCTTACAATCTTTACATTCTCAATGATTTTTTTTCTCATAAGGAAATAATCAATTTATATTTTATTACATACATTCTTACAAGCAATAATATGCTCATCTCTTTTCTTAGATAAAATATTAACAATAACAAAATCATATCAATAACAAAATCATATGCTAAATAAAGCAACATTTAATATGATTTTACCTTCCTCATTAATTACTCCAAAATAGTAGTCACGATGACTATTTTTATAATCTTCTACCACTCAACCAACCTGTTCATTTAAATTTCATCCAATAAAAATTCTTTCTTTAAGAGACATCATATGTATCAATTCTTCCACGTCACTCTAAAAATTTTCTTTTAAACATATATCTGAACCTACTTGAAGAACATATGCACTTAAAAATTTAAGAATCTTAATATCAACAATAATCTTTAAGGTTGTAATTCTATCTACAACATATGCCATAGTGAGCAAACCTACCATATTTTCCAGATTTAACTGGGTTTTAGATCCACATATGAGATTGGCAGTGTCGGCTTGAGCCTGAAAACGAGTTGGAGCGTAGTCGCCAATCCTCTATCACTCCAAATTGTTGATAAAATTCATGTTGACCTCTAGAACCATGGCGGCAGCTCGCGAGTCTAAGCAAAATTTTTTAACATTTATTTTCTATAACTAACTATTAACAAGTGAAAGAATCACTAAACAAATTAAATTAAAATAATATATTTAAATTTATCTTGTTACTGTTTTTCCACATTCTCTAACAATTATTTTCTATAACTAAATATTAACAAGTGCATAGGTGAATTTTGTTTATAAAACTTCACAATCGGCTTACCCTTATAAAGCAGGTCACCCAACTTTTTTGTCCACTGTGCATGAGAGATCTTCCTTGCGCGCTAGAGTTGAATGACATGCATGAGAGAGCCTCTTTTGTAAAGTTCTTGTTTTTGACTCCTTCGATTTCAGCTTGGCATCAACATCGCCTCGACTATGCCGCCACCATCCTCCACTGCTTGACTGAGACACCACATCCTTTCAGCTCGTAAGCATGGCGTCAGTAGCTTGTCTCGACCTAGCATAGTGAGTATAACCACACATACGGGTTGCCACCTACTTCAACTACCTTTTCTTCTCCTTCGACTCGATGGCACGAGATCAAGTTTCACTGTTCGACTCTCTATGTAAGCCGACTGCAATGATTTATAGGCAAAATTCACCTCTTAGACTTCTTGACCTCCTCTCGTTTCCTCTCCCCCATGTTCAGTTCTTTGTTTCCTCTCCCACTTTGACTGTTCGATTCCCCTCTCCCGATAAACAAAATGAGATATTATAATCACATTCTTACCCGGGGGATGGAATTAACCAAAACAGGTACGAATATTCGGACGATGAGAATTAAATTTTTCATAATTTTCTTCTATAACTAAGTATTAACAAACGAAGAAGATACAAATCATATTAAATTAAAACAATATAATTAAATTTATCTCATTAAAGATTGTTTCCATCTTCTATAAATGTTTTCTTTTCAATTACTCATTTTTTTAATAAAATAATTACCCATGAAAAGTTGGTTTAAAATAACTGTGAGCTAAATAAAGCAAGCGAATGCTCACATTCTTAAAATACAATAATTCAAAAAAAAACATGTTAGTTAAACTTTTAATAAATCAGTATGAACATTTGATATTTTAAGAATATGATGTTATTTAATGAATTTTATTATATTAATATCATATCTATATCATTCTATGTCTATTTAATCGTGATAGGAGCATTATGTAAAACATGTACCATTTAAAGTACTTCAATATTAAAATATTTTTCCATTTACATGCACAGGTATCTTAACATTTTCTCACTAATACCGTACATAGATAACTCTATCATAGTCATACATGCACATGCAAACAAACAAAATAGTAAATCTCATTCTTATTTTTTTTTTCATAACATTTAGTACATGATATAATAACTTTACTGATGCATTTGGTGATCATATACAAATAACAATAACATACAGTTCAATATAATCAAATAAACTTAAATACTAAGTAAAATCTATTCAAGCAATTAAGAGAGTGTAGAAGAAACCAAATTACTACCATAATCTTAAAGTACAAGCACCAGCTTGTTTTTAGATGATTTTTGCTTGCTTTTAAGTTTCGAAATCTCTTTTGTATTAGAATACCTATCATCAATTATAAATTATTATTTAATTAAATTATCATTATAATTTAATATCTTCATTTGACATAATTTAGGATTTAATTATTAAGGATAAATAGTTTATCCTATTATCTAAACTTACATTAATTTCCTTAAAAATAATATAATTCTTAATATAATTTTTTATTTGAATAATGCTTTGATCTAATAGCTCGCTAGCATTTCTCACGCACAAAAATGAGCCCAAAATTTTTGCTAGTCTTC